CCGAGCTGCGAGAGAAAGAAGACACTATCAGGTTCTTGCACAAGAAACTGAAAACATTACAGGTGAGGCATATCATAAATGTATGTCTTTAAAAAATTTGAAACTTTATTTCAGCATGTTCAATATATATACTTTTTTAAATATTAGATGAGTGTTGCTGAGGTGGAGTCTCTGACATCGTCTACCAGTGATGACGACTGCGGAGGAATTTTGAGTTGCCAAAGAGTTACTCACACTCAGAACGATCATAAAGCATTGGTAAGTTTTTTCTTTCCACGCTTAAAATCCAATTTCAACAGATGCCGTTATAAGGAATTTCATATTTAAACTACAGTATTTTGAAGCTTCGAATAATTTTCAATGCCGGGTTTTTTTTATTGAAGTCCAACGAAAACAGACGCAGTGAAATAAATGCTTGAAAATTACAGTAAAACGAAGCAAGACATGGAGAAATAATACTGCGTAAGTAGCACTAGAAACATTTTAAATTGTTTTAAAATGTTCTTCCGCGAAAGCAGAAAATTTTTTTAAATTTATTATGTGCAGAAAAATGCTCAAAAAGTATCGATTTTCACCCCTCGAAAAAAATATGAAGGCCCAAGATTACTGGGAATGCTATTGATTTTGCTGGAAAATTTTGCACTTCTGTCAGAATTCTTTGAATAGTCAAGCCTGTAATTTGAAGAGAAAAAGTACAGCTTTTATTCAGAGAAATGTTTTTTTATTAATTTCAGCATTTTTTAAAGCTTTTCCAAGTTTTTTTCAGCTCATTTTTGCCCTTAACATTTTTCTAGGATGCATTTTGTTTTGGTCGTATTTTCATGTTTTTTTTCAAGATGTTTCAATTCATTATCAATATCAACAGGATGAAAGCAGGAAGCAATCCACCAATTCTCCCATGCTAGTCAAAACTGCACTTACCCAGGAAGAACTGATGGAGCTGGAGTTTGCATCTGCTTTGCAAAGGAACCTTTCTAGAACTGATGTCGCCATCAGAGTGGAGGAATCAACATCCCCACATCATTCAGATGATGATGAACACCCAGGTACTGTACATAAAAGCGGGGAAAATCGGCGAAAAGTTGGCGGAAAAAAGCAGGAAAGATTCTTACTTCCGAGTCTTTTATTGTTTCTCTCTGAAATAGCGCGAAATCCGCATGCAAAAAGGTCTTCAAATGACTGGGAAGTCATGATGCTGGCAGAGCAAATGTCGGAACGAGAGAAGAAAGCTGACAACTTGAGACACGCTGCTGAAAGGTTCATTCTTTATTCATGATGCGAGGGACATTCTGAAAGNATGTAATTGACCCTTCCATTCCTGGCAATGAATGGTCAAGGCATTTTTCCAAAGTCATGTACAAGGAAAACAGAGGTCTTTCACCCCTTGACTACGTTACAGCAGCAGGAAGAGTTGATTACTTCTTGGATTTGCCATTTAAAGAGGAAGAAATAGAAACAGTCATTAAAGGCAAAAAATACAAAAAGACTCCAGGGCCTAGTGGCATTCCTCATGAACACTGGAAGGACTTCATACAATGTCCCTCAAGATTAAATGGTTCACAGAACGCATAAACAGTCCTCAATTGAATTTAAATAATTTGAAGCAAAATTGGGTGCTACTCAACAGCAATTCTGACTGACCATACAAAGATTTTTTAGAGCTCAATAAAAAGCTTAGTTGGCATTTGGCTTTTTTATATTGGAATCTGATTGAGGGAGTTAATTGCATTGAATATCAATTTTTATAATTGTTTTGAAAAAGGACAGCCGTTCCTTGATGAAATAATAATAAAGTATGTGGTACAACAATATAAGTTTGTATTAGCATTCCCAAAGTTGACCGATTTTTTCGTGTTTGAATGACTCATAAGAAATTTTTCAATTTTCAGGGAAATTCCCATGAAATCAGAAGATTTTTTTTTCAATTTGAAAACATTCAGATTTGAAAACTTCAACACTTTCAATTGATCATGACAATGTTTCCCACATTATTAGTAAACTTTTTCCTCTGTCTTTCTTTAAAAAGAACAGGGAAAGACACTTCAATACATTAAATAACATCCGGTTTTGGATAATACTGCATTGTATTTTCCTTGAGAAAACAGAGATGATTGCCAATTTAAAGAGCGCCAATTTTCTCATGAGTATTTCCATTACAGTATATATTATTGACATAATTTAATAAGTTGGTATCATCCAACTGATGAAGATTTAAAAATAATTTTGCAGTGAACAGTAAAAGTATGACACGCGAAAGGAAATTCTCGATAGATCGCCTCGAAATTTCTTCGAAATGTTGCTGATGCTGCTGCGGACATCATCTAGCTTTTGAAATGAAATATTCAAGGGCATGGAATTTTAAAAAAAAACAACAACAACAAAACAATAAAAAAACTGTCACGTGCCTGATTTTGCAGTGATTTTTCACATGTGTTATCTGATCATAAGGTGGAAATATCGCAAGAACTTTCCGAATGCCCCATTTTTCCAAATCCACCGAACGGGAGCAGGGAGAAGAAAAACTGTATATTTTCCTCGTCTATCGTCCTTGTCATTTTTTTTTTTTCGTCTTGCAGACTATTGTCCATGCAGCACCAGCAAACCGGAAGGACTTTCAGCCAAGAGGAGGAAGAGGAAGTCGTCTCGGCTCTGACGGAGTTCTCCGCTTCCGAGTTGGACTTGCTCGAGAAAATGATCTGGGAGGAAGAGAAGAATGAAAGCAGCAGAAGTGGGAAGTTGAAGCGAAGCAGGAGTGAAAAGTACAGCAAGCCCAAGAAGAAACGCTCTGCGTCTCTCGCACCCGGAGAAACCCTGACTTCGCCTCGGGATCCTGCGAGTCCGGAAATGCCGGTAAAAATAAATAAAAGTATTCATTCATTTCTGATTTCTAAAATTAATCATTTGTTGCGATCTGCTTGCGGAACGTTTCAAGTGTAACTTTCTGTATAGAACGTCGGGAACCGCTTTTGTTGAAAAACTTTCCCCCTTCTTATTCCCGAAACTCACCACCGGAAAATTCGAACATTTTCCAAGTTTTTTTTCGCTTCTTCGTCTGCCTTTAATTTTCTGGCCACATGTTGGAACACTTATTACATGCTAAAAAATGAGTGAATACTCAAGCATTCTTTCATTCCTCTCCGCAATTTTTAATAAGTCTTAGTTGAGCTTTTTTTTAATCCGGAAGGTTTCCAGTGGAATTTTTATAACGTTTAGAACCGTTCTGTTGGAAAACTTTATCTCTGAAACTCATCTCCAAAAAATTAAAATATTTTCAGTTTCTCTGTCTCAAGTTTCGTGATCTCATGTTGAAGAATTAATACACGCCAACAACTTGTCCTGTGAATTCTCGGGGATTCTTCTATTCAATCATTTTTATTTTTTGAGTTTTACGAATACTGTGAATAATATACATTTTCCTTTTTCCTTTTCTTATTTTGGAGATATGTCATTGTCACTGGGAACAATCGCGAATTCACCATTTGTTGAATGGAACAAATGTTGCTTCCAATGAATTTAAATGGAATTTCTAGGGGCTTTCTTAGAAAGAATAATCCCTTTTTTTTCAGCCCTTTGGTAGCCATGGAGTACACGACATCTGGGCACAGCCAAGTGCATCTTCAGGAGTTACGGCGACATCTAGCAAGCCTGAGCTCACTTTATCGCCATCTTCCTTGGTTCCACCACCAGGAGGCAGCAAGAAAAAGTGCTCTACTTCCCTTGCGGTGGCCGAAGTGAACAAAACCGCGGTTGCTG